GACAAGAATTTTTACAAATTCCAACTTTTAAAATAATTTGATATTGCCCTGAATTGAAGCGCCAATTTTTGTATAACATTGCTCTACCTATGATTACAATCACTTTCGAAGAATCGCATATCCAATCTGCCTTTATTTTTCGTGTAAACGTCAACAATCCTGCGTCAACGTTTCCAAAGATTTATGTCTTGGAAAATTGGGAAACACCGCGCTGGTGTTTTCCAACTGAAAAAACCGTCAGCGAAAAAGCTCGCGTTCTCTAAATGGAAATACCGGATATTCATGCTAATTCCGCGGTTTTATGGACTGATTTGCAAAAATAGAAATTCAATGGAAATCCGCGCGTGTCTTATGCGGGATTTCGTGTGACGGAGCCGATACAAAAACTGTACTCCGAGCTCCAATCGGATTCATCATTTTCGCCTGATCTGCATACCGGTTTGCGCTGCTACAAGTGCACGGAATCTTCGTTCCGGTGACACGTTTTTTTTTCGTATCTAATACTTTTTTTCACCCGCGGTATGTTTTGTGCCCACGTGTAGATCATGAACCCTGCACACGCGGTTTTTACGTGCAACGTAGACCGATTGTTCAAAGTCGATCTGCATCGGAATCAGTCGAATCCGATTATGAACTCGTCGTTAATCGTGCGATTGATCGAACGCTTCGTCGAAAGGACGATTGTTCGTCCAGAAATCCGCGATGCTAATTAACCCTTTTGCGATCGGAGCTATTTTAATTCCAAATCCAAAAGATGCTTTCCGATCTGCGGCATTTTTATTTCACACGATTCTGTGCAGTTTATGCATCTGAATGCATAATTATTATTGTATTATTATATATATTATTTTATTATATATTAATAATAATAATTATATATATAATAATTATAATTATATATATATAATAATAATAATAATAATATATATATAATATATATAATTATTATTATAATATAATAATAATAATATATATATAATATATATAATTATTATTATTATATAATTATATTATATTTCTTGCCTACTGGCAAGTACAATAATTACAATTATTTCGAAAAATAGTGTAACAATTTTTAATGCCGCCTCGGATTCGCCACTCGAGCGCAAAGGGTTAATCGACCGAATTATTGCTTGCTCGCGCATCTGCGACAAGAATGAACGAACGTTAATTCCGAAAAAGTTCCAACATCAAAATTGATCGATGCCCGCGCGTTAAATTAAATCGGGCCCCCTTAATTTATAATCTTGCGACATTATTGTTACAATCGTTCCCATTGTTCGACAAATTATTCGAGCGCGCGACGAACGCTTTCGTCCGCCGTGCAGCGTCACCGTCGTGGCCCGGTTACGAAATAAGAAGAGCACAAATCACTGCCAGGTGTGGACGAGCCGAATAAATTACACCTCCGGCATAATCAATTCGCGCGACCGTGTTATTAACGGGAAATGATACGGCGAACTCGCCCCGACTCTTACTTATCATCTCCAGAAATTTTTGCTCGTGGACACGTTATTAGCTTAATCGACGTAAAAGCACCTATTAGCCGGGCCGCGCACGAATTTCTGATTTACAATTACCGTTCGAGGTTTTTAACGAGCCAGCTCGGCTCAATCGAGAAGTCGAACACAAATTACAACTTGGACAAAAAAACGCAGAACTGTCGGAGAACTGTCGTTCTCTGTTCCTCCAATTGGACGTTACACGATTTTTAGGATGACTTTGAAGCAGATTTTTGTAGCGAGAGAGAGAGAGGGAGGGAGAGAGAGAACACGAAAGAGAGAGAGAGGAAGAGTGAGTGCGCGAGAGAGAGCGCGCTAGGCGGAGAGCGCGCGCGCGAGAGAGAGAGAGAGAGCGCTAGAGAGAGCGCGCGCTAGGGGGAGAGCGCGAGAGAGAAAGCTCGCGAGAGAGAGAGAACGCGAGAGAAAGAGAGCGCGAGAGAGAGAGTGCGCGAGAGAGAAAGCTCGCGAGAGAGAACGCGAGAGAAAGAGAGCGCGAGAGAGAACGCGAGAGAAAGAGAGCGCGAGAGAGAAATCTCGCGAGAGAGAGAACGCGAGAGAAAGAGAGCGCGAGAGAGAAATCTCGTGAGAGAGAGAACGCGAGAGAAAGAGAGCGCGAGAGAGAAATCTCGCGAGAGAGAGAACGCGAGAGAAAGAGAGCGCGAGAGACAGAGCGCGAGAGAGAGAGTGCGCGAGAAAGAAAGCTCGCGAGAGAGAGAAAGAGAGAGGGAGAGAGAAAGAAAGAGAGAGAGAAAGAGAGGGAGGGATAGAGAGAGAGAGAGAGAGAGAGAGAGAAAGAACGTCGAAATGATACGAAACGCGTGCAGCGCGAATATTTATTTTTATGACAATATTGTGCTCGACTTTCACGCGTTCTACCAGATGAAAACTGGCGTGTTCTCTCGTTTTGGGCACCGTGAAACGTTTAATTCTTTCCTGTGCGCGCTGCGACACGTGCTTCTTTTTACGATGCGGCGCAAACGAAACAGCAAATGGGATTCATAACGCAAAATCGGGAGAAACGGAATTGGGGCGAGCAAAATTGCGAGAAGCGAAATTGGAAAAACAAAATTGGGAGAGAGATGAGAGTGGGAGAAGCCAAAAATGGAAAAAAGCAAAAAGAAGTAGAAAAGAATCTAAAAAGAAGATATAAAATAGGGGATAGAGACAGAAATAACAAAACTGAGAAAAATGGGAAAAAGATAAATTAATTGTAGACTAATGATACGTGAACTAATGTGCAATGTTTTTAAGCTTATTCTGCAAAAGAGGTTGTAATGTTTAACACTAGATTTTCGTTTATTAGATCAATCACTGATTTTTTAATTTACGATCATTCGTATCGAAAGCATCCATTCAATTAAAATATTTATTCAATTTATATGTTACTTACAGCAAATGTTATCAATAACGCTTGTTAAAAATCAGAATAAACGTCTCATTGTTGCTATTATAAACTACCATAACCTGTTTTTTGTGCTCCGTAAATCTAGCACTAACGCGAAAATTCAAAGCAGAGAAAAGATTCAAAATTCAATCAATTTAACAGAAAGAAATTAAGAAATGAAATTAATTTCGTGGTAATTTTTGGGTTTCATTTCTGGCACTCGACGCGTCGATCAAGTCGATAATTAATTAAGTCGTGGATAATTTCGTTTTTCGTCCTCTCGTTCTCCGATTCAGCCGCAGCGTGCGCGGCGCGGCGGCGGGAAAAATGCTCGCGAAACATCCCGCCCGGTTTTCCTTCGCTCCGGCGAGAGAAGAATGCCCTTTTCCGATACGCTGGCGACACTTTCGGAGAACCGATGCCAAAGCGGAGACCTGGCAAGAGGCTCCGGTTGGCGCGGCCAGCCAATAAAACCAGCCGTTTGTCGCGCGATTCGTGGAAAAATTCATGCGTGCCGCCGTGCTGCGCTCGCTCTAGAAACGCTGCTTCTCGGGGAAACTTTGCTGACGTGTGTGGGAAAAATGACGCGAGTAAACGATCGTCGAGTTCGGCTTCCTTTTTGTTACGGTGCTCCCTCGCCGCGGATTTACGTAACGCCGCATAATGGTGTCGAACCGCTGGAATAACCGGGCAAAGTTTCGTGTCGCTGCTCTTTCGCTGGATTCGTCGTTCGACATTGTTGCGATCTTCTGTCACATCGCGGTAGCTTCTGGTCCATTATTCCTGGAAGAATCTCATAACCGGGATCGAAAAGATTCTGAAAATGACCGAGTCGTATTACTGGATTGCGACGGAAGCGATAACAAAATATAATAACAACGACATAAGAAAGTATAATAAAATATATGATATATGATATGTAACAAAATAAAATAATAATATTATATATAATACAATAACAAAGACATAACGAAGTATAATAAAATATATAATATATAATATGTAACAAAATAAAATAATAATATTATATA